CTAAAAGGTTCTCTGGGACAATTCTATGATGAGATCCTAAAGGGATTTGTGTGGCTAGCCAATGCACAGGGGTAGACCTAAGTATTTGGATGGGAGTGTCTCAGTCCTGCAGCCAAGTCGCGCCTCAAAAATACCAAAGGGATTGCTGGGTAATGATGACACCCATCAGTTTCGATTTGGGTATATTAACTTTCATACCTGTTGCTGCCTTGAAGCACCTAAGAAAGAGCAAAAGACAATCAATTTCCTCAATGGATGCATCGCAGAAGACAAGGTTGTCATCGGCGTAATAGAGATGACTGATGTCATGGCCATTTCTAGAGTACTTCAAACCACCTAAAATGCCTCTATGAAGAAGTCTAGACTAGGATCTGCTAAATATCCGAACATGTTTGGGTGTATTTGCAACAGAATTCATACAGCTACAATTCAGAAATGACCATATGGTCCTGAACATTGGAAGCCAAGATAATGGCTTCCCAATGGTTTGATAATTTGGGTGGGAGCACTTTCAAAAGGGCATCCTAAGCTTGCACATAAAATTTCATGTTTGGAGTTGATTTTGAAGTGTGTTCCATAAGTTTGCCACCAGCTATAGTACCAATGAATAGTACCTTCAGAGTTAACTTTTCAAAAATTTGACCAAATGGTGTCCGTTTGATCCCAAACTTGGAGGATCTAAAAAGGTGATTAAAGCTTATTGTCCAAATTCCATAGAATTTGGATGTCATTTGCTCACACGAGCTACGAGGCTGACAAACCGAAGTGCTGTGTCTGCAGCAGCCTATCAAAATGGAATTCACGTCGAGCTTAAAAAGGAGAGACAATGAAGACTTCCAATCAGAAAGAAATTTTTTAGGCAGGTAGGGCCATGCCTTGGGAATCTACAATTAAAATTTCATGAAATTTGGCCATGGATAGGGGCCCAAAGTAGATTAAATTCAGCATACTCTCAGTTTCAAACTGCAAACCGCAGAATGTGAAGAAAAAGTTGGCCATGAACTTTTTTAGGTGATTAGGACTCCTATCAAGATCATCATCATTATCAGAGCCTCATCCCAACTTTTTGGGGTCAGCTGGATTTCAATCAAGATGGTATTTGTTATATAGATAGTTAAAAGCCTTGGGAATTTACAGCTAAAATTTCAAGTAATTTGGAAAAAAGTGATCGGGGTTTGTTTTAAAATGACCTAGAGCCATTGGAGAATATTGTTGAAGTTTGTTTGATCGAATTTGATCAAGACTAAACCCTAGACTGACGAAATTTGGGTAAATAAGAGGAAATTTTTCCTTTCGACTCCAATTCGATTCTTCCAAAATATAGAAAGATTTCAAACTTGAACAGTTTTTTGGAACAAACTTGATCTTCAGAGATTTTATATATAAGGCATGGTCTTTTATGAAATTAATAGTATTTCGTTTGTTTTTTAATGACAAATCAAGTTTGGACATGATATGATCCAGAAACTTGCTGAAGAAGAGCAATTTTACAAGTAAAGTTTCTGATTTTAAGACTTTTTGACCCTCAAATCATGGGATTATGTGGCAATAAGAAATGCAATCTCGAAAAGATTACATTAGAAGTTGAAGACTCTAGAAGCAGAAGATTTCAAGCAGGAGAGTTTCCAAAATTGGAGATCTTCATTCCTTTCTCATCAAGTATCAGAACTCTATATAAAGCGATGCCTTGAGCATGATCGTGAACAAACCGAACCCGAACCTCAAGCCCTAAACTTTCTAATTCAGAGCTAAGGTTTGCAAAAGCTTCCTTGACATAGTGATCTTCATAATTTCCAGAAAGATAAAGATAATCGAAACAAAACTTCAAAGACATGTATGTATGCGTGTTACGATAAACTCCAGTGTCTTTATGCGTGTACTTCTTTCTTTGAGTTTTTATATGTCTATGTAATCATATATCAAAGATGTTCTTTCTTTCTATAAAAGTTTGACGTTAATGAAACAAGTTGTTCATGAACACTCAGAACTATTCCCAAATCCATTTTAATAAAAATATTGATTTCTTATGCAATCTTGATTAAATTAGTTTGTCTTTTGATTGGAGCCATATTTCTTTTAAATATTTATTTAGTACACTTTTAAGAAAAACAGGCCACAATCTGGAAAAGGAAGGGCGAGAGATATTTGCCTTTTCTGGGGCCTCTGGAGAGCGGGGGAACCAAATGACAAGGATGGAGAAAGAGGTTGACGAGATGAACACAGCCATCTTACTTTCTCAATTTCTCTTCAAATCCCATCTGTTGGAGGACTTTATCTCAAATGGACCTGTCTCCAAATCCCATCTGTTGAGGACAAGCCCAGGGCTTTCAGAGATATGTTTGGAATGGATGGCTTTGTGACAACTAGAGCTCCATCAAGAATCTACAGATTTTTTACAAAGCCACTTTGGTTGGAAAAGATGACATTGTCAAGGGTTTCCCAAAGTCTTGAGGCTGGGGCTATGGAAAAGAGTTTGTAAGAGGATTTAAAGAGGTTGATGGATCAGAAATCCTGGATTTGTTATGCACCTTCGATTATCGGGATTAGGCAATAAAGGCAGCATTCATTCCCACTTTGAACTTTGGTTTGACGGTGAAAATCATTGAAAGAGGTAATAATATATGGGGCCATGTTGTCCCAGAATTTGTTGAATATGACCACTAGGAACCCATCCGATCCGACTCTAGGACCCTGTCCTGACCTATGTTAGAGATTGTCTAAAGGATCTCATTCTCTGAGAATGGCCTTTCGAGCCAGAGGGCGTAAGTGCTTGGTAACCTAAATGTTTGGTAACCTCGAGAAGGTTATGTCAGTCATAGGAGGGAAGGGGATGGTAGTAGATGAGAAAAGGGTATTCCGGTGGCAATTCCGCTATGATCCTCCAAGCTTTGGCTACCCACTTAGATGTGGGTAATGAGGATTGTGTCTACCCCTGCAATTTGCAATTTTGTGGAAGAAAGCTGTGGTCCAACCTCCCACTTCGAGTCGTTTGATTCTGAACTGCTGTTGCTAGAAGGTTTCTTCTTGTTTGATAACAGAGAACTAGCTGGCTTTGACTTCCTGTCTCCTAGTATGTTCAGTCTGGGTGGGTTCTAATTTTTTCTAGGAGGTCTAGATTGTCAATTTCATGGAGAAGGGATTCCTTATCAATTTTATAATTTCCTGGTAGGTTGCTGCTCCATTGTTTCAAGACAGCTTTGAGCAGCTATAGTTTTCTTTAGAGCCTAAAACCAACCCAACCATAGGTTGAGAAAGAGAACCACTAGGGGTGGACCAATGATTAAAAATTGGGTTTTCGCAACCAGAAAACTTCAAAATGAAAGGGTTTTGGGCCTGATTTGGTAGGCAAAATGTCAAGGAGAATGGTTTTGTGGTCCGAGGTGAGGGTTTGGCTAAGGTGCAGGAGGGGGTTCCAGGAAATGGTCATACCATTCAGTGGAGGCTAGAAATCTGTCTAGTTTGGTGAGGGTTCGGTCGAAAGAGTGGTTGGACCAAGTGAAATATGAAGCATTGAGGGGGTTATCAGTGAGGTAGTTTTTTGAAAATGAAATTGGAGACACCAACCATGGAGGCGTAAATATGACCATTTTTGTTGGAGTCATGAGAGCATCCAGGGACATTGGACTTATCCCGAATGATAAAAGAGGTACAATAGTGGTTGCAGTCCTATCTGACTCCCTCCATGAGGAATACTGAACTATGATCTGTTGGGGCCATAGACCGATGTAAGTTTGCCGACTATTAGTAATTATAGAAAGTACGATAGAAGCTGAAAAAGAACTAATGAAAGAAAACTCCCTAATAGCACCCAACACTCCCCAAGGCATGCAATGTTTTCCACTGGGGGGGCATTCTTCTCCATACTTGAGGAATAAGTGGAAGGGTGGCAATTTGAGACTTGATTTCAAGAATAGCTAGAACCAAAGGGAATTGCTTGATAGAGTAACTTAAGAGAGCACTCTTTTTCCATGAATCCCTATGCCTCTATTATTCCAAATAATCATTTTTATGGCTAGTTTGAGGTTGAGGATGACGAGACTTGGAGCTCTAGGACCTTCTGGGGATCTGGGATTCAGGGTGAAGACCTACAAGGCTCAAAGGGATCCCTTTGTTGTAGTTGATGTTTGAAAATAAGTTGATGAGTTCTCTCATTCCTCTACATTTTACTCGTGGGACAGTCCTGGCATTTTCTCAGAAAATATCCCCTGATGTCTGTTGCTGGTTCATCATGAAGGAAGCTTATGGCTAGAAGGATATATCGCCTATGTGTGGCCAGCCTCTGATGATACATTCCGGCTATTAGTTGTCCACCTCACTAACAGATTGATGCCTGTATCTGGCTTCCTCAGTTGAGGCAGTGTGGCTGGCAGGGAGAGGAGGGGTTTTCCGTGATAAAAGAAGGTTTAGAGGTACTGGGTTAAGTGGAGGTCTTTTTTTTTCACCATGGGGTGTGGGAATGGAATTAAGGGTTGCGATGACGAGAGAGGAGCGGAGCAGAAAGGGGGAATGACGCAAGGATTCAGTGTGGGGTTTGGCATTTGAATGGTGGGTGGTATGGGTGGGAAGTGGTTATTACATACTGAATTTAGACATATATTATATAATCAATTTAGATATTATATATATATATATAACACTTGAACAGCACATTATGTATTTAATTTTAGATATACAACGTTAAGATATATCATAGTATCATGCAGTTTACGTATTTATTGACATTACATTTTGTATCTATTTTTAGTTCTAATATACAAAAACAATAAGAGTATTTAATATCAGTATTGGTACAGTATCAAGTTGCTCCTGCTCCATTAATCTTCAAAATAATGGAAACAAGAAGAGTAGGATATACCACAAATTACCAATGATTAAAAAGAATTGAAAGCATAACTTCATAATTTTATTTTTTTTTTAAACTTATACTTTGTAAGGCATAATTTCGCAAGTGTTCTTTTTTAAAAAAAAAAACTTATACTTTGTGAGTGTTGTCTACTCACACATTAAGCAACTTAGAAGGAGCAGCACGAAGAATTGCCAATGCTTCTTTCCAGCTCCAATGGCGTTCGGATAAGGGTAGAAGACGCTGCAAAATGGACAAGCGCCACTCCCAATCTTCAATGAACTGTACCGCAGATGAAATTCTCCACTCCATCGCCTGCTTTCCAGATGCTATTGTGGCATTGCTCCATGAATTAGGATCTATTTCAAGTCCATTTGACGGTAAATTATGGCGCAAGATATCAAGTATTAATCCAATAAATGACACCACTGTTCTAGTTTCCCCATCAAAAACAGGCTGTTCCCAAGTAGGAGTACGAGGCAGTTCGGAACGGCCAACTAAAGAAATGTACTGTGTTAGGTTAGCCGAGAGGTCATCCATATGCAGCAGGGAGATGATGACGCTCACCATACATATCTGCATTGCCAAAAACAGAGTGAATTTTCAGGGGTCTATTTTCCAGTTGAAGAGAAATTCCAGAAGAACCTCAATCAAATATTGTGAAACACCTCATGATATACCATTGAACATATTAAAGAACAGGGCAGTGAGGAAGAACAACTTCATATAAACACGATAGATAGCAAAACCAACAAAGCCATATAGTATTAGATGGAAAGAAAGAAAACAATAGCAGCACGTATCAAATAGAGAGAACACTGCACATATATCCTAGCAAACACAAGACAGGAAAAGGATAGAGAGAAGATGTTACACAGAGAAAAACTGACATGCATAAACCAAACAAATATGTGACGCCTATACGCAAAACCAATAGAAAAAGGCACTATCTAGTAAAAAGGTCAATTTTATGGGAAGTTGTGAAGTTAAAGTGTCTCAAGACATCATTTACCTTACGGGGTATATTGTTGATAGCCTCTAAATGATCTTGCAAATCCTTTAAATACCAAATAGCGAGATTGTCGTACTTTTCATCCTTGTCAATCATACATCTTTCCAGAGCTCCCAAAGCAAGAACAGCAGATTGTAAAGCAAATCGCATGTGTACAAGCTCAAGGTCCTGTATCCTACCAAAGCTCAATGCATGGCAACAGGTATCAGCAAGAATACATAATACCAAAAAATAAGTTACAGTAGTAAGTTACAGTTTTCTGCAGTAAATAGGAAATGAATCACCAGCTGTAAGCACAAGGCCTTGATTACTACCATAGCACTATATGAAGAAAAGAGAGATAAGTATAAGAATGAAGGAAAATATCAAGAAACAGTAAATAGCAAGTGACCCACAATAACCAAAATTGTCAACCACACATATTCATGTCATGGACAAGCCAAATTCCAAGAGAAGCATAAACTAAATGGAGATATCAATGAATCACACGTTGACAATTAACTAGCAGGTATTCAATAGTGATCCAATAGCTAAATCCACTCGTGTATGTGTGTATCCATGTATATATCTGTGTGTCGAGTTTTTTTTTCTTGCTCTGTTTTTTTTTGACATTGTTGCTCAAAATCAAGTATTAGGGACTTTCAATTGTAGAAACCTTTCCTTAAAGATGACAAATTAACAAAGTTTTCTATAAACTATCTTACGCACCTTTTCCAGGCTGCACTCGTAGATGCAATGGGTTGCATGCTGATAAGTTCAATTGCATCTTGAAACTTTATGGTTGGTACTGTATCAAACAAAACCTAAAAAAAAATGGCATGTCAATCACAAGGTTAATTACACTGAAACAGACCAGAGTCTAAAAACTTGATTTAAAAAAAATAAAAAATAGAAAATAAAAATAAAAAACATTAACTCAAGCAAGCAATGAGAATAGACACAACATACAGAAAAAATATGATCATAGTTTTCAATGAAATTCTATGTTGTACAAGATATACTTATCAAAAAGCTACCAAACCACCCTCCACTAAATTATTTGACAAAACCATATTAAACAGCTTGTAAATTATTTCACAAAACCAGATTAAACAGCTGTAATCAAGATATTACATGGCCAAAACTTACAATATAAATTACTCCAGTCCTACATTTTCTTGGTAAACTATCAAAAGTCAATGTACTCACTCTTAAGGGTGTCTGCACAGCAAGTCGTTCTAGCACAAAATTTGCAACAAAAGGATCCATATGCATATCTTCAGCTCCATCACCCATCAGTTCTTTTCCAGATAACCGTAAAGATGTTTTTGAATTCCATGGTCGGCCCGAATTGACACACTCCGCAAAAAAAGCAAGGTCCAGGCGATAGCATAAAATGTTGCATAGATGCTCCACACAAGATATCTATCATCCATATAATCAAATGAAAACACAAAACACAAAATGGAATCCACATGTACGTTTGAAGCAAGAAAACATCCCCAAATGTTTATGGTACGGTTAAATAAAAATTAGAAATGCGACCTCTTCTGATTGCTTTCTATACAATGAAGACTCTCCCAACCTCAGCATCTGAGATTTGCTTGTCCACAATAGCACCATTAATTTTCTTCGAGCAGCTGTCTTACCAGGTAAGAGATCCCAACCCATGACAGCTACCAGAGGTTGAAGTAGGGGAAAGAGCACAAGAACCTGCCGCAAAGATTATACTATTGACCATAAGAAATAACCAAGGACCAAGACTGGTTAAGTCTGCCAGGGTTTCTAAAATCACCATTAGGATGGTATATTCTAGAACAACCCGATATGTATATGTGCGTGTAGAACTGGACTTTATGGGTCCGCTGGCCTTTGATACAATATAGGCCAGACGGCCCAGATTTATCAGTCTGGATGGGCCACATTCACCAAGAGTTGCGGGGGAATTTGCGTCCTTCTTTTTAGCGTATGACATTTCAAGTAATTTTTTTCATATCCATCGTGCTTTGGCAAACCTCTCCACAAAATTTCAAGTGAGAATCATGAATAAAAAGTATTGAAAATGAACCATGACAATACACGCTGGCCATTGGGTATGATAGGATTAAATCTGAGCCGTCCAGCCTATACTATTCTACAGGCTTGATGGCTCACACACATATTCTCTCTCTCTCTCTCTCTCTCTCTCTCTCTCTCTCTCTCACACACACACACACACACAATTAGGTGGTCTCACCCCTCAAAGAAATGATTAAAAGGGATTTTCTTATTTGAAATTTTTAAATCATCTTTAATTGAACTTGTGAACAGTTAAGGGGAAAATGCTTTCGAAGTCTTAAAACCCTAGATCTATCATCCTTCAAATGAATGGCCCAAAGTTAGTCTTTGAGGGGAATTGATTTAACCATTTTTTTGGCTCCAAATCAACTTCTCTTATTATGGATTGATCAGGTCGGAGAATTTTCAGATCAAAAAAGTCTCCCTATGTTTTTGGGGGCTAAACCATGTTTTGTAGGTGGTCAGACAAACCACCTAATATGTGCCTTCTACATGTGTGTGTGTGTGTCTATTAGGTACTCAAGCATGCAGTTTGATAACAATCACCAATCATGACATACATTGGCAGCATATCGCAGTTCTTCCCTCTTCAAAGATGATAGAGCAGCATCCATTATGGTTTCAAGAACATGAACTCCAGTTACGCGGGCATAGTGGTACATATCTTGCTTGCAGGATCTAATTACCATACTCTGGACAGAGTCTTCAGTGCAACTTAAAGCATCAAAGTACTTTTGAAGCTTTTGAAGTGGTGGAGGGGCCAAGTCAGCATTTGAAAGTCTGTACAGCTCAATTTCTTTAGAAAGCAAATCATCTTGAATGGCCTGGAAAAGGAAAAACACAAAGTATGAATGCATTCAAAATCAAGAAATATATGCTCTTCTCAACTGAAGTTTTAGCAACAATCTGTGCTAATTTTTCTGAAGATACATCAATCTACCGATCTGATTAACCAAACAAAGTTTGCTTTGATCATTATATATTGAACAGAGGCACAAGACTTTGTAACAGTTGGACAATAGTAAAAAGTCATAGCAAAACATGTAGCTAGTTGTACTAAAACAAATTTAGTGTGATTTCCCCTTGACAATGAAATATATTGATATGAAGAGGAAGATATTTACTAGTTATATCATCCGCAATCGCCTAAAGCTCAAGATGGTCCTCGAACCAATCATATACTTTATTGAGATAGGTAAACCAAAGACACTCCCCCTCCGAGAACTGTATATGAAAATTTCGTTTCGTACAGCTCAAGCGTCATGCATGCTGAATTCAATTGTAGTACAGGTTTTAAGGAGTGTGCAATGCGATTTTTTAGCATGGTATGCATTATATGATTATTCCATGTAATTTATCGCGATAAGATCTATTCATGATTATTCTTCTCAAAGTTCAAACCTGTTACCATAAAACTTCGAAAAGAGAATCCAGCTGCTAACACCATCAAACTGTTTATTCACGAAATAACAAGTGTTTGCCTGTTGAATAGGTCTTTCCTCAGGATACTTAACTCTCTGTGTTTCAAAAATTGAAAGCTGCTTTGAGTATTCTGACACAACAGATTTGTAAGGAAAATTTGTCCAGGTTAAAGATCAAGAAAAAATTTACCAAAATTCTACCAAAAGGAACATCACTAACTAATGCTGATCACAACTATCTGCTTTTTTGTCATAAACAACTTCTAGAACTATAGTTATGGCAAGTTTTATTCTACCTGAATCATTTGTACAAGCTGCAAACAATTAGATGATAATGTTTCTCCATAGATCTTCAGCATTTTTTCGCGCACTGAGAACCAAGTTTCTCCATAGCCATTTTCAAAGGATGCAAACTTTTCGATGCAATCTTGCAAAACCATTCTGTGAGGGACACCATACGAAAAAGGCTACAATAAGGAATAAATTAACATCAATAATATTGAGCATTTCAAAAGTCTTCCCTTTTTTATAAACAAACAAAACTCTCATTGAGGGTTTTACAGAAAAAGTCAAGGTCGATACATCCCAAATGATGGAAGACCTGGACTACAGAAAATAATAAATGCAAAACCGCAAGAACTTCATCAAAATACCAAGATTAAGGCCAATCAGAGAAAAGTAATTTAATTAGAGCATTCACGATTCTCAAAGGTAAGCTGAAAAGGAGAGGCAAAACATATCTTACTTATGAAGCACGAGCAGTAAACTGGAATGCCTTTCGGTGACCAAGTTCACGGTCTACTCTATGAGTTAATGGCAACAAATGCTAAAGTGAGGACTACAAGATGTGTGTGCACATTTGGAGTGCAAATATATGCATATATAGTATAAGCATTTAAGGCACCTTGAAACCTGGGTTCCAGTCCAGTGCCTAGGTGCCCAGACCCCCCTTGACAGCCCGGGCACCGCTTGGCATTTTTACAACCTTGACCCCTAGATGCCATTTCTTAGGTCATTCACATTGAAATTTGAGGTTCTAACCAAATTCTGTTGGGCTTCTAGAATAGAAGCTTGCAAAGCATATACTAACGATCTCATCAAATTGACAAAAATAAGGGACTTCTTAAGGGTTTTTCTAGATGGCAACATGTCCTTATCATAGGGAATTTCAAAAATAATTTGGAATTGCTAACTAAAAGGTGTGATTAATTTGTCTCGTAGTTCATAAAAAGGCAAAGGGATATTTCTTGATAAAGTTAGAACTTTGGAAGGATGCTCTCGAATCAAAATGTTTTAAAATTAGTCAGACTGAGACAAAATATACGGGGATACAAGTTTAGTAACAATAGAAGTAGAAACTAGGAATTAGTCAATATTGATGGCCAAGAAGTATATAATAGAGATTATTTTTGATATCTTAGGTTGATAATCCATGAGAATAGAGAGATCGAAGAAGATGTCCCTCATAGAATTAGAGTTGAGTGGACTAAGTACAGATGTGCTTGCGATGTCTTACGTGGCAGTCCCATACCAATGAACCTAAAGGGGAAATTCTATAGGACAGATGTAAGACCATTCATGCTTTATTAGATAATAGGCAGGCAAAAAAAAAACATTGATAGAGTAAGTGTAGCTGAGATGATGAGGATGTTGAGATTGATAAGTGGTAAGACATTAAACACTAGATTTCAAAATAAATGTATCCAAGGAAATTTAAGGGGTGGCTCCAATAGGCAATAAGCTTAGGTGGTCCGGCTATATGCAACATCTACCTGGAACAGCACCCATGAGCGATTTGGTCAATGGAATGCTCTAAAAGGGCAAGAAGAATGCCCAAAAAGACATGGATAGAAATAGTGAGAAGAGATATAATGACTTATGGCCTGACTTGGCAATTGACAGTGCCAAATGACCGAACATGATTCGAGCTAAGCCCAAATAGTTGGGATAAGGCTCGGGTGATGATGAGGATGATGATTCTAAATTGTGAACTAGTGACATCATGAAGCCATTGTCCCTTCATCAAAAAGTTAATCCTGAATGAAATTAATTACTTTTGGATTTTCCTGAGCCAATTAGCATGTATGATTTCTTTCTCATAGGCCGGGGTACAAGTGAAGCCATGAAAGTCTTGCTTGCAGAAAACAACACCACCTTGAAAAACTATAAATGTAGAAAGGGAGAAAATAAAAACATGTGAACCTGACCTGTATTCTGACACTGATAACCCGTACTCCAAATGCAAAAATCGGAGGCGAGAAAGAATGAAATTTTCGTCAATGTCACTATCCTTCACCTCTTTCTTCAACAACTCCAAATGCACACTCTGAAATTCTCTCTGAATCATAGACCCCAACAAAAACTGATCCAAACCATCAAAATCATTATCGTCACCAACAACGTTATCAGTTCTCTCTGATAATTCTCCTCTATGTAAACTCAATGCCAATTTAGACTCATAACCGTCCAAATAATGCATCTGTTTCCAAATATTGAGACACAAGGAATCTAGAAGATCTGCTTGATCACAAATAACTCTCCTCAAACACTTCAATTCCCCATCTGTAAATGAAAAGTTTAAATCCTTGAGCCCATTTTCAAAAACTACCTCTCTCTTTAACCTCTGAAACCCTAGATTGAAGAGCTTATCTAAAAGGGCAGCCACATCAACCATGAATCCGGTAGGTTCACTCAAATTCGATTCACTTCCTTGAAACTCAGCAAGATCCTCGGGCCTTGACTCATAGCTTTCATAGATAGAAATATCCTGGCCACCTATGCTGTCCAAGTCTATGAACTTCCCATAACTCTCAGAGACCTCAGAGCTGATCATCTGTAAAATGAGTAAAAACTCTGCCTTCAACTTCAACAATTCAGGATCGACCTTTGATTTTGAAGATAAATAGGAGCCATATTCGATCAGCTCGAGAGCTGATAGCCAGGCGAAATGAGGAGGTGAGTTGACACTTTTCGACCATAGAACACCCTTGAACCTTCCACCTTCTGCAACTACAGCTCTGAGAATCGCTACAGCAAGGTCTGAATCCCTGTTCCTGAGGCTTAGCAATGAAGCCCTAAATGTCTCGAATTGGGCCAAGAAGAGGTAGTTTACAGATACTCGTGACAAGAGCTGGACCTCTTTCTCCATTTTTGCAGAGGAAGGGAAGCTTTATGTTACAGTCGAAAATGAAGATCTTCTTCATTAAAGGGGACTGCCATGCCTGAAGAAGCTAGAGAAAATTCGATGTAAAATTTGAAGAAGATGACTGTCGGGATACGAGAAAACAGACCAGATTTTAGAGAGAAAAAACGAGGGAACAGTTTCAGGGTTAGAGAGAGAGAGAGAGAGAGAGAGAGAGGGAGGAAAATTTGCCAAAAATGGCCTCTTATTGAAATAGATAAGTAGAGGTAAATGAAGAAGAGAAAACGAAAAGTGAAGAAAGTAACAACAATGACCTTACAATCCTCACAAATACCAAAAATAGCCCCTGATTCTTGGGAGTTGTCATGCTCTATGATCAATAGAATTATGGAAAAGTATGTAATGAGAATATTTATCTTTAATACAAGGTGGTGATCATTGGATGTGAAATTGAGTATATATATTTATTGCATTGATCAAGCTCAAAGTTTAAAATATAAATTTTTAAATTTTGTGGCACATCCAAGCTATCAGATTTTATATCGGATGATTATAAATAATTGTGACTTTTTTGTATAAAAGGTAAATTGTTTCATTGTATACAATCCCTATAATTGTTTATGGGATCACAATTGTCATCACCGTTCAACTAATAATGACTACTTCGCCAGAGCGCTTGGAGAAAGTTTTCAGTTTATTTATCCATAGTATATTATTTAAATAGAAAAAGTTTATATAAATGTGAGGCTACAAACAATCAAATAGGGTGCACCTCAAAAATTTCATTGAGAGGTTGTTTTGATGCTTAGATATCATATCCTCGAATTGATACATGTACAAGAAAAAAAATGGATTTAAAGTTTTGAAAAATATCACATTTGTATCTTGTAGTGTATTTTTGGAACATTAGTTTCCAAGATTTTCAAGTTTTCATAGATTTGCTTGATATACAATATTTTTAAAGTTTTAATTTTTTTTATAATTAGAGATGAAAATATATTTTAAGGCTATTACAAAGATTTCTATTAAAACCACATTTCTCGATACTATTTGGAGGTCTGTTTTACTTTGATTGTTTAGAACCTCGGTTTTATATAAACCGCACTTTAGTTAAATTAGAGTTAAAGGGTAGATATATACTCACCGGTAAGACTAATCAAATAAATTAAATAATAAAATAAGAATAAAATTATAAAATATAAAAATTATGAAAGTAGCATGAAAAAAACTAAAAAAAAAAAATTCAAAAAAATAAGAAACATTAGATCCCCAAAATTACACCCAAAACCCCTTCCTCAATTCAATCTCTCAAAATTTTCATTCATTCCCTCTCTCTACAAAACTCTTATGATCATTTCATATCCTCTTTCTCCCTCAATGCTTTATCCATTTTTAATGGTTTTGCAAGAGTTATCAATTTCAAAGTTCAAACAATTGAGCAAAATCAAGTTTATAATTTTGAAGAATTTTATTCTATACATTTTTTTTTTAATTCGTCGAACTAAAACTTAGATAAAATTACAAAAAGATTTCAAAACTACACTTTTTTATGCAATTTACTCCAACATAACTTTTTCTCTCACTTTTTTTTCCAAAATATACTTTCTATGTAAAAAAAACCCAACCAAAATAAAAAAAAAATTTCCTAAATTACCCTCCCTTACTTTTACCTTACCCACACTGTCTCTCCTCTATCCTACCAAAACAGGGGCTCCAGTACCATGTAAATAGGTGCTCCAGCACCATGTAAATGCCGTTCGATAGTAGGGCTTCGGCATTGTGTAAAGTTTGGTCCGACAGTAAGGCTCTGGCACAGTATAAAGTGGGGTATTGATAGTAGAGCTCCTGTATTGTGTAAGGTGAGCGGGGTAGCTGCAAATGGTGGTTCGGTAGTTGCAAAGGCAGTTCGACAGTTGCAAATGACGGTTGATCAGTTATAAAGGGCGGTTCGGTACTTGCAAATGATGGTTCATCAGTTATAAAGGGCAGTCCGGTACTTGCAAAGGTGGTTTGACAGTTACAAATGGCGGTCCAACCGTTATAAAAAGCGGTCCAGCACTTGTGCCCTCCGACAATGTGCTACTGAGTCCAAAAGTCAACGAATGATTTTTGTGCATGGGAAGGGCATTTCTGTCTAAAAAACGATTTTTTTTCCTTAGGGGGTATTTGCATGGAAAGTTTGTTTTGAGGAAAAAAGTTCGAGAAAAAACTAAATTGGGGTAAATTGCATAAAAAGCTTGGTCTTGGGGTTTTTTGTAATTTTTTCTAAACTTAATATGTTAAAATCACTTCAAAATAGAAAAAAAGAAAATAAATAACAAAACAAAAAACAATCCATATTCTTTCAGGAATCTCAACGGAATATTGTAGGATAGTAAAGCAAATATTATTCCCTAAAACAAACAAGGTGGAAAACGAAAAGTATGATTTCTCAGTTATTATTTTTTTAAAGTAAATATCAAGACAGAAATAAAAAATTAATAATAATAAAATAAAAAACCCTGGGTGCAAGCCCCTGGCTCGAGTGTGGTAGAAACGTCACCAGAATCTTGCCCTAAGACCTTAGGTGGAGGTTTTGGGGGTAGGGGAGGGGACAGAGAGGATTAAACCCTTTCTTTTAGGGGTGGGGTTTGCATAGAGCCGAAGATCTAAATAATAAAAGTAAAGCACACTTTCAAATACTACTAAGAAATGTGGTTTCAATACTAGAAATCTTTGTAATGGCCTTAAAATATATTTTTATATTTAATTATTAAATTTAAAGCAGCAAATCTACAAAAACTTGAAAATTGATGATCCAAAAATGCATTACAAGATGCATCATTTGCAAAACTTGAAATCTATTTTTCTCTAATGTCCATGATTTGAAAATATTTGAAAATCAAAACAACATTTTCCAATGAAATTTTTTAGTTGGGTTTTAATTTGATTGTTTAGAGCCTCAGCTCTATATAAACTTTATCCTTCTTTTATTCTCATAAAAATGATTGTGTGATAATAGACCACTTATTTTTTGTATGAGGAAGTTACAGTTAGTTTTAGATATTGGATGTGAAATCCAATAGATGAAACTATATCGTACTTTTAAGAAATTTTATTTGACTTTGTATCGAAATAATGATCTATCCTCGACCACCTCATTTCAAATCTAATCGTCAATGATGATTTTGATTCTTTATATCAAAAGTAAATAGTCTCATTGTATATATTTTATTTATAAACAAAACAAGAAAAAAAAAAAAGAAACTTTTCAATGAGTCCCCAATAACATAAAAGTTATATGTGACCCCACTTCTTAGTCATTTGATATAAATCAAACGGGTATGATTGGTAATACCCCAATATCATGCCAAACACTGTTTTATTTTTCATTTTTTTTCTACAAATATTTTTAGATGAAAATTTGGACGTCTCATCATAAAATTAGGGAGAACCTGAAAAAATATAAAAAAATGGTTTTTATAAAAATAAATGACCAAAATACCTTTACAATTTTCAAGGTTATTCAGGTAATTGTTTATCATTGAAAATATTTTATTTTTGTTTTTATCATGTACGTTGCTATTAGATCTACGCATGCCCCAAATTTTGTTTTAAAATGATTTTTAGAATTAAAATTAAAAATAAAAAACTATGAGCCATCCGATCAAGATCCGACAGTTAAAAACCAGCTTGTGATATTGTGACTCGAGTCATTCTAGCCATCTACTCAGGTATGATGGTCGAGACTAGGCGTCACATACACTATATATGTGGATAGGGTAACATAGAAAGCCTTCTCCTATTAAAAAAAAAGAAAGAAAAAAAAAGGCCTTAGTGCAATATTTTTATTTTACCCTATCTAAACTCAATAAGACCAAAAAGGCCCCTCTACCCTTTTTTAAAAAAAACTAATAAGGAAGAAAAAAAAAAGTATTTGCTGTTAGCACCTAAGTGATGATATGATAACTTATCCCTAGAGGGACCTTGGATGCTTGGGACGTTTACAAATTCTTACGAACTTAACAGGTCTGTAAAAGGTCCATCACACACCCATGTAAAGGTCCCAAGAGTTTCACGGATCTAACAGGTTCAAAAAGCCTTTATGGACCTATTACATCCGCAATGAGACCATTTCGAGCATAAAAAATTGTAAAAAAATTGGTACACACATAATAGACAAGAAAATTAGGTAAGTTTAAAATATTTGAAAAATACAGACATCAGAGATAATTTTCCTCTAGATTCAAACAGTGACTTTATTTTTCTGGGGTAGGTTTTGTAGGGTTGTAGTATGTCTTGTTTACTAAGTTATGGTTAAATTTGAAGAAGTTTTTGCGTTCTACACACAAATTCAGTGCATATTTAGGCTTAAATACTGCCTTTGTAATACATAGTAGAAATTCTTATACTTGTCAAGATGATCAATTTGAGCATCAGGGACTGACGAAGCACGAGTGCAGGGCTTTCAAAGGCCATAATAACCAGGTCACTGCCATGAGAATGTTCTCTCCGATCTCCATATTTGTGTATGAGGTGGGAATATATGGTTTTGATGGTGCATAAGTTAAAATGCATGATTCAGATCTGAACTTATTTTTTCCTGATCTATGTTTTGATCATTCAACACGTGTTTGATTGGTGAAAACAAAGCTCTAGATGTCGCATCTTCTTCGGCTTCCATGGAGAGCATGGAAGTTGCTGCTTCCCTTTCTTAACAATATTTTGTTGGTCATGGGAGCGTCAGCTTTCAAAATAATGCACCACTTCCAACGTTATCGAACGCAAGAAATGCTATAGCAACATAAAGTTGTAGCTTTGGGAGAAAATTATGCACTGACCAATAATATTTACCGTAATTAAATTTTAGATAAATTGATAAATTTATACCAAGGCCCTTCTTTTCATATTTTTTTTTTTCAACTTTGCCCCCAATCTAATGTTGCAAAGTAATTCCGATACCATAGATATCAAATCAACCAATCTTTAAAGTGGTTTGATATTAGAAACATTGGTTCACCCAATAATTCGTTGTTTTTTTTTTTTTGAACTATACAAATCTATTCTCTCCAACAGTAAACCAGATTTAAAACAAAAAATAAAATAAAACTGACCGATCTAATATAACCGGACAGACGCGATAAATATTTGATGTAATATTTAAAGAGATGGTTGACAATCTACAGTACAATACTATATGATCCCAACGATCTAGTGTTCAACTTGGCCCATCCAACCACGAAGGCCTATAATATATGTATGCCTGTGTTCTAGATTACATGTTCTAAAATTCACTCTTCTATACAAAAACATTTCTAAGGACAAAAAAACAGGACCATAACCATTGGGCGGGTCCAATTTACGATATGAGAGGAATCCCAACTTTATTTATGTTTTTATTTTAAATGCAATCAAATGTTGAAGACATCAAATAAATGTGCTTACAGAAAAAAAAAATACAAGGCAATCAATATTTCCTATATCGAAGGGCCCCAAACATGGACCAGTCCGACATCTAGGGCATCAAATTACCCAAGAAACAACAAAATAGATAAAGAAATGAACACAAAAAAGAGGGACCATAGCATAAAAATATCGGAAATTATGGACCAAAACACAACTCCAGTAAATAATACCCCTATCTATCTACACATAATATCTTCATGTTTTAAAAACCGAACCGGTGTGCCAATCCCATCACTGGCCAGTTCCGAACCGGCTCACCAACTCAATGGGATCTTTCTATATTGAAAAATTAAAAACTGAAAAAAAAAATATATATATATATATATATATATATATATATATATATA